CAGTTAGGGACTTAGAGAGCCTATTGGCATCATAAGAAGTCTGCCTGTGAAGACTTTCCCAAGGAATAGTCAACAAGGATTGTCCAGAAAGTCATATCTCTTACTAAGTTTACTTATTTTGAAATACTGTGGCTCTTAAGAATAGTGAAATAATGAGAATTAGTAACACACATAAAATTCCAGAATCAGTAGAAAAGTATTCTTTGTTTATTGTGCCTAATTGTCAGGAGAGATTGTCACAAGCTGATGCGGGCCAGGACACAAATACAGCCTATAGCAATTGATAATTCAGATATCATCCCACCAGAGGAATGATTCTCAGATGGCATACCCTGTCAAGCAAGGCTTGCAGGCCACTGACTCTGAATTCTGTTGCTTTCATCTGTAATTTCACTTGTGCAATAACAGCTATGATATCTCCCTATTACCATGCATTTTCGTGAAATGTATATATGTAATCTCATGATTGCATCTCAATTTTATGAGCACACATATATGCGTGGATGGTCAGGAAGATGACTTTTCATTAGCTGTACAATTTTGGTATATAGAAAATATATTAGGATATGCTTCATAACTAGATCTATTGTCCCACAAGGACTGTGGACCCTTAAAAGCCTTCTTTGTTCCTTTTGCCCAGACTAACTGCACACATTTAGTTCATTTTACCTCAAAGCAAGTTCAAACTAGACTAAAGGCCTTTGTAAATAGATCGTAAGTTTAAAACTTTACAGTTATGCACAAGGCCACAGTTGCAGGTGTCCACCCCTGGTTATCCACATAAAGCACTCTAAGAAAAGCCTGCTAGCTCTTTGCACCCTAAGAAAAGCATGCCAGTTCTTCACTTGCCAAGTCTGCTGATAAAGAGCTGTGTCTCGGTTTGTCGCACTGGGCACTGCGCCGCCCTCGCCCTGTCCCTCTCTCTGGTCCTGAGACCCTGAAACCTTGTGTTGCCATGGTAAACGCCTCTGTCCTTCTTGTCTACCCTAGGGATGTACATTTGACCAATGAGAGGTAACTCTTGTAGTTTTTATTATTGCTTCCAGCCTCCTGTAAAAGAGAACATTATTAGGCTAGATGAGGAGAAGCAGGAGGATTGGAACAGGGAGAGAGCAGAGTAGAACAATAGAAAGACCTGCAGAGAGGAACGGCTCATTCCTTCACCCTCAGACCCGTAGGTTTTCCTCGCTTGTTAAGTAGCATCTTTTCTGGACCCTGAGAGGGGCCTTAGGGGATGGCACCCAAAGGACCCTGTTACCCGATATTTTGGGATATCAGGACAGCTCTGGTTTTAGAGGTGAGTGGTTACATCAAGGTAGAGAACCTGAAGTTTAGAGGGCTTCCTTCCTCACTCTTGCCTTCTTTTGAATTGAATGAACTGTTCACGCATTCTGTAGTCTAGGAAAAATGTTTATTTTTAATTTTCTCCCTAAAAATACAACACATAAATTCTACTTAGTTACATCTAAATTTAACAAATATCTTTGTCTCTTCCAAGACTTACTGCTTTCAGTCTGACATCCCCTCCGACTTCCTTGCTAATGTTGTTCAGGAGTTTAACTCTATTTGTTTTTATGCCAAGACACCATCATCATCATCATCATCATCATCATCATCATCATTATCATCATCATTCTGTTCACATTTTCTTCTTTTTGTTTTTAAAGAGTTATTTATTTACTATGTTAATTGTATACATATGTTCACATGAGTGTAGGCACCCACAGAGGCTCTGACTTGGAGCTAGAGTTACAGACACCTGACAGGATTGCTGGGAATTGAACTCAGTTCCTCTGGAGGAGCAGTACATGCGCTTAACTGCTGAGCCTTCTCTCCAGCCCCCTGTTCTCCAGCCCCCTGTTCTCCAGCCCCCTGTTCTCCAGCCCCCTGCTCACATCTCCTTATAGTTACTGCTCTCTTTGTACATCTCCCCTTCCTTGCATTCAGAGCCTCTGCAACCAAACCCAGTTTGGGACGAGCCTTCGGTCTCCAGAATCTCTAGGTAGGCAGTTAGTGCTTTCAGGAGCAAATGGGGAGAGCAGGGTCCTTAGAGATGTGCCTTGCAGTCAACACCAACCCATCCTGCAGTGTTGCCCCTCAGGGCTGAGGACTGTGGGACATCCTGCGTGAGCGTTGTCCCGGAGACTAGGGCCATCTCTGAGCTCTTCACCTTCGGCTCTCTAGTGGGAGTGTTTCATGGAAGTAAAGAAGAGCAATTTGAACTATTACAAAATATTCACATTACATATATCCAGGTTGTGTTTCTCTTGCTATGTGCAACTGTATGTGTGTTTATGTGTGTGAAATTAACTTAGTTTAGGGAAACAATGTTGATAGTAGTTGAAGTTCTTTTGATTTGGTTTTCTTTTCTTTTTCTTTCTTTTTTTTTTTTTTTGCAAAAGTAGCAAGATCACTTTATTCAAATAAAAATAAAATGGTGTATATTATTACAGAGTGTTACACTGTCAAGACGAACACTAGGCCACGTGAATATTAAAGGGCCCAGTTATTTGGGACTTCTATTTAGGAGGCTTGAGAGTAATTTGGTTCCTAAGGATTACAGTGAGGGTGTTGATAGATGGTGATATAATCAGTTTTCTACGTTTATGCCCGGTCTCATAATACATCTGGTTTTAATTGTACACATACTCAATCTTGTGTAAGCATAAATGGTAAATAGTGGATTCTTCTAGGGTCACAACATGCACCCAAAACCAGTTAAGACCAGACTGGCTCTTCAGTTATTCATATTCACATACATGAGGAGTACATTTGAATAGAAACTAAGTTCAGTTGTTACTAGGAGGGAGGAAACCTACTGTTGCTCAGAGATGGGTATGTTTAGCCTGATGCAGGGGGGTTCAGCAGTTACTAGGTGCATTTTTAGGAGAGAAGTGTGTGCTCGAGGGATGTGCAGGTGAAGGAGCTAGGCTGCCAAGTGCATTATTACAAGAGATGTGTGTACATAACCAAAACCAAATGCAATCCTAGGCCAAATGGTCTGTTTGCCTGCACATATCTATTTGTCCCAAGAGGTTTTTTTTTTTTTTTTTTTGCTCTGCCATAGTGATGATGTGAAGTCTGATTTGCTCTAAGAGTGTGTTGTTTTTTTATCAGTAGCAGCCTTGTGTTTATAGTCCCTTCCTTCACACCCCTTCCTATCTTTTTTTTTAATGCCAAATACCGTTTATTGAAGGAGGTAGGAGGTCTTAAATACAGGCTTACAGCACAATGGGAGAACCCCAGAAGGCAGAAGTTCGCTACAGATGTTTTACAATCTTGCATCTAAGCTGTTAACACCCATTATGCAGGATACACAGAAAAGGAACTTCCCTTAAGCATTCAGGAGGGTGAAACCCAGGAGGGAATTAGCATAGGGAGGATATCAAGGTCAAGGTCAGCAAGCAAGGCAACAGTTACCCAAAATGGGGGCCAGGGCCCTGCAGGTCCCCCTTTTACTAATAAATGAGCTTCTGACTTAGGTTGTGTGGGACATCAGCAGGTCACCTTACCCATCATGGAGACACCTGCCCAGGCCACACAGGCACTCTGTCTTAGGTTGGTGAGCGCCCCCCAAGCATTACCCATCTTTAAATACTCATTATCATACAGACTCAACCACATGAGCTGTAGAGTAACTGCTGCCAAAGATCTCAAAGTGGCACTGGGCTTGCAATCTGTGACACAGAAAAGACCAACAGAGGTCCTAACCCACCCATATCCAGTAGGCTAAAGGCAACTGAGCCATTCCCTTCCTTAATGAGCCTTACTGCAAATTGGAGTCCTTGTAAGATAGTATCCCAAAAGCAAATGGAACTTGAGTTTATAAATTTATGATTTGGTTTTCAATGTAGTAACCGTATTTTAACATTTTCTTACTTGGGAAACACCAAGTTGTAAATTGACGGATGGTACTTTTTGAAATGTTGCTGTCTTTGAAATCTCAAATCGCTGTTATAAACAACTAGCTGTGAGTTTGGGTGTGGACATCAGCCTTCTGGAAATCATGTCGTCTTAGTTATGCCAAGAGCTTTCTCATTTTCTCATGTGTATGAGTCCTGGGATGTTCACAGTATTTTGCCTCCAGCAATACATAGCAGGGATACTAGATTAGCAAGTGTCCTCAGCTCTCTTCCAGTAGTTTATGTTGATTCACAGTTTGCACCAGGTCAAGGTGAGCAGGGATCTAGAGGGTGTTAGCATTCTCAGTCTCTAAAGAACCCTGCTTTCAAAGTCACACAACCCAATATTCTTGCAGTAACTCAGGACATAATTTCTCTCCTATAACAGGAACAGATTGGACTAAGTGACATCCATTTGTTCTTTGGGGCAGTATAGGTTAGGTTGTGGCTATAGTTACATATCCTCTCCAAAAAAAAAAAAAGGCATGGATTTAACCTGTATTTCTATTAAATCTGTGACCCAGGTGTGATGGTACAAGCATACAACCCCAGAAGTCCTGCAGGAAGATTAGGAGTTCAAGGCCAGCCTTTGCTATAATATAGCAAGTTCCAAGTCAGCCCGGGCCACAGGAGACCTTGACTCAATACATTAATTAAAAAATAAATCTGTGTTCTCTTTGGCTATGAGAAAGATTTGAAGATTGTATCATAGCTAATGTTGAGGAGGCTGCTGCATCTGCAGTTTTCGGGCCACTTTTTTGGAAGATGTTCTTTCTTCATTTCCTTCTACATGGTCAGTGTGATGTCCCCACAGATGACTTGTGTTTCTTCCATAAAGAATGGTCACATTTAAATATAGCCGTGGTGTCATCATAGGCTGGACACTGACATTTTTATGTGGTGCTTACAGTAATTATTATGATATAGACAAATGACTCCATGCAGATCCACCGGCCACAGCTTTTGGATACATCTGAATTATGATAAGATTGTTCACTGGCAGATTTGTTATTTTCTGTAGGCATCAAGAAAAGAAGTCATAAAACAGTGCATGCCCACTGGAGAAGAAATTAACTTCTCCTAAAACTTCTTTTCCAGTGAAGGAAGCCCATCCCCCAGAGTGGAGCTGCTGCATAACATTGATCAGGACTTTTTCGACAGTTCACCGTGTGAGTACCCAGCCTTTGCTGCTGTGTTAAATGTTTTGTTGTGTTTTAGGAGACACCAGCACGCTAGCCTGGCGCTCTCTGCCCACCAGAGCTGATGTTAGTGTAAACATTTCTTCCCGACACATGTTCTGGTAATCTCATAGTGGCTTCAGTACTCTGTGAAGTTAGTGAATTCTGGCTCTGCCGTTTGCTGGCCGTATGCAGCAGGAGCCCACAGGAGCCCACAGGAGCCCACAGGCGCCCCGAGGCCCCTTTCTACCACCCAAATCATGTCACTGCCTGAGTTACCTGAAAGTTCCAGAACCCTTTTCCAGAAAATTCACCACCAGACAAGCCGCTGTCGGCCCTGGGCTTGTGCGAGCCTCCACAGCATCTGATTGGGTTGGCCGGGTGCTGCACAGAACCTGCTGAATCTCACGGGTGCCCATTTCCTCACGGTCCTGGGAATCATTCAGCTGCATTGTGCCTGCTGCCTGCCAGAGAACTGCCTTGTCAGTTCCTCAGGGGGTGTTGTTATATTCCCTGCGCTCATGTGGGGGTCATGCCACTTCCTTTCCAGACATTGTACTGCCTTGCTTAACTCTCTTTACTTCTTTGTCCTTTCCAAGTGACCCCAAGACCCTCCTCGCGCCTGGCCTTGTCATGTTCTTGCCCAACATTCCCTGTCCTGCTTGCCATTTCAAAGCACGGAGTTGATTATACCATCCCCAAACTCAGTACCTGTTTCCTGCCTCTCTGTAGTTTCCAGAGCATCCCAGAAGCCCCATGAAAAGCAGTTGTCCCCTCTCAGTGTCACTTCGTGCCCCTGAATAGCATCGGTCACATAGTCTAATTGGGCCTGGATGCCAAGATCTAGGATTTGTTTGTGTTCTGATCCTCATCAGTTAGCACAAGTGCCCAGGACTTGATAAGCACTCACTAATCATTACTTGATCACAGAGTGGACAATTAAGGCGAGATTAGATGCAATTAAAAATATGAAATTTCCAGGGAAATGGATGAATCCGGAAATTATTCTAGTAAGCACAGTAACCCAGAGTTATAAAGATGGCATGTTCCTTCATACATAGATCTTAGCTTGTAATGTTTAGATATCTTAATATATGTGAGTGCAGTTATAGTCATGAAGCTTGGAAAAGAGGACCGTGAAAGGGGAAGGAGGGTCTCTGAGACAGGGTGAAGGTGATGGGGGAATAGAAGGATGGACAGGAAAAACAAATTACGTTTGAAAATGCCATCTGAAATCTAGTACTCAGGATGTTAATTTGTAAAAGCTAAACACCACTCTTCCAAACCCAAGTGGATGCATTAAACCTGGAAGGGGAAAGTGTTCTAATAACAGGCAAGCAGTGTCTCTTCTACTGGAGTAAAATTACATGGACGGTAGAGGTAGAAGTGTGGGTTAGATCCTGAGGACTGCCAAGATGGTCCGTAGATTTGTGCCATCCGCTGTGGTAGTCACCAGCTCCATGTGGCTGCTGAGCCCTGGAAAGGTAGGTAGGTAATTATGGGTTGAGACGTCAGCTCCGAGTATAAAGTACATATTGGACTTTGAAGACTAGGTACACATATGGTGCATACATGTTGGAATGACAGGACTTGAATATGTTAAGTTGAATGTACTATTAATACATCATCTGTTTCTTTTTCCTTTCTTCAAGTGCGACTGGTAGAAACCCTAGAATTACATATGTGATTTGCATTGTATTTCTGTTGGTCTAGAAGAGCTATTCTAGAAGGTGCTAGGAAATCAGTTTATCAGGTGCACAGAGGACCTGTGATTAGTTACCTTGAGGCTACATGGTTCTAAACTTTCCCTGCCCCTACACACCTAAGACACGTGGCCTATTCCAGGAATACCAAAATCTCCTGGGGAGGCCTGGAGAGCAGCAGGAATGCACGAGTAGATTTAAAAACTTCTCATATAACCCTGCTGCAGGGCATCCAGGATATGCTTCCCACATAATGGCTGTGGACTGTCTTCATTTGCTAAATACACACACACACACACACACACACACACACACACACACGCACGCACGCACGCACGCACGCACGCACGCACACACAAATAAATAAATAAATAAATAAATAAATAAATAAGCAAACAAACAAACAAATAAATAAATAAATAAAATAAAAAAGCCTGTGGCTGCACACCCACTGGGCTATAGTTTCGTTTGGCATTAGAAGTGACAACCCAGAACCAGATTCTTACGTGACGATCACAGCCCTGATTGCAGCAGGGTTCTTATTGTGAGTTGCCGTCACTTTTGGCTGCCCTCCCTAAAATACTCCTAGCAAAATGATACCATGGACAAGAGGTTCCTGCAGCGTTCAGGTTAGAAGGGGCGCAGAGGTCTGGATGGGGGACTCCACCCCTGAGCCGCTAGGATGTATGTGTCCAGTGTGTTATTCGGTGACTCCACCCCTGAGCCGCTAGGATGTATGTGTCCAGTGTGTTATTCGGTGACTCCACCCCTGAGCCGCTAGGATGTATGTGTCCAGTGTGTTATTCGGCGGCTGTGCTAAGTTCCATCATTGTGGTCGTTAATTCAGAGGCACTGTTCGGCCTCTGCCGTCTTCTGTGCCTCTTCCAAAGAAACCCGCTTGATGCTGGCCTTCCTTACCAACTTGGTTCACACGAGTGAGGTGTCCTCCGTCGTCTGTATCTGCAGGGAGCATCGTGCCCCCCTCCTCCTCACACAGAGCCACCCTGCAGGCCTTTTCTGCAATGGCTGAGTCACTTCAATCTGCTGTGAGGCACAATCAGAAAAAAAAAAGAAAGAAAAAAAAAAGAAAAAGAAAAAAGCTCTCTTTGGGGGGGCCTGCTACTTTTTGTTTGTTTGTTTGTTTGTTTGTTTTCCGAGACAGGGTTTCTCTGTGTAGCTTTGCACCTTTTCCTGGAACTCACTTGGTAGTCCAGGCTGGCCTCGAACTCATAGAGATCCGCCTGGCTCTGCCTCCCGAGTGCTGGGATTAAAGGCGTGCGCCACCACCGCTCGGCTGGGCCTGCTGCTTTTTACCATGAAGACACGAACCTGCTCTCTTTCCTTTGCAGTTACTTGTAGGGAAAAATTAAATCCAGTTATAAGAAACTATGAACTTAGAGGACAACGTCTGGAAAGTCTAAGAAGATATTCTAGAAGCTTTTGTGAAACCAGAAAGCAGCTGTCTAGTGTATCCAGAAGGGCTGACATTTGAGCCTGCGTTACCCCAGAGCCACAGCTGGCTCCCAGCTCCAGTGCCTCCCAGACTGATGATCAGACTGGGGGTGGGGCAGGATAATGAAGCCGCACTCTGCTAGGAGCACCTGTCAACAGGCAGTAATGACTGAGTAGAAAGGAAAGCCTTAGACGCGTTATAAACAAGAGACTAGTTTGCATGAATATGTGGTTTTGTTATGGCTACCTCCTGTTCACCTCCCTGAGCCCTGTCCTCTTTCCTTCTCCAAGGTCTCCTCACCTCATGAACTGTGTGTTTCCCAGGGGAGCCCTGCCTTCCACATATTCCCCAGGCTCCCTCAGAAGCTGGCTCTTGGGTTTAGCAGTCACTCCTTCCTACCCCCTCTTTAGAGTAGCGGGAACGTCCAGGGAAATTGGGGTTCCCTCCTTAGACTCGTCATCTCATTAATAAAAGCATTTAAAAACAGACTCAGGAGGCAGCTCGGGGACCATTTTATGAGAATTTGAAAGAAAAGCAACAGAGTGTTCCAGCTGTAAGTCTTGGCAGCCGCTGAATGGAGGTCGATGGAGGAGAGTGGAGAGGGAATGGCATGCCTCCCGAGGGACAGGCCGTGAGAGCTGGCATGCTCGTCGGCGGAGGCTGGCAAGGAGCTGATGCCGAAGAAGAGCGGCGTGCGGGGCTTCAGAGGATGAGGGGGAAAGCGGGAGGCCAGGGAAAGCATGCTTAGATGGGGAGAACATGGCTGCACTTTGGAAAAACGGTGCAGAAAGAGAAGGAAAAAAATTATGACTTTTGAGTTTAGAACTCAAAAGGCAGGCAAGCTTGGCAGTGAAGACAGGCAAGCCCCTGCATCGGGGAGGGGCCATGTGGGAAGTGTAAGTGAGGACATTATCTCATTAGGAGGTAGTTATTCCTCCTGTCTCCTGAGCGTGTTAGTGGGTGAATCGGCTTTCCTGGGGAGGAGACTCTGGCCGTGTGATTGACAGGTCCAGCTCAAGGGAAGAGACAACATAGTATATATAATGTTCTAGTCTTTGGAGGAAATCAGAATGTTATGTCTCCACTCAGGGCCAGAGGGATTCCATTCTTTTGACTAGAAGGCCTAAGGAGAGGCAGTTGTAATGTTTCCTTTCTAGTGTTAGCAGGAAAAAAAGATGAGGTCCAGAGCCAACCATGAGGAAGGGGTCTATGCTCAGTGGCCTCCGAGGTTACTAATCTCGGCCTGCTTAGCATTTGTACTCGATCATTATTTTGGAAGTGGGCTGAAGTTGGGAATAGATACAACCACATTTCCACCGCGAACACCTAGAGGTCCGATTCCAAAGCTGCCCCCCAGAAGGGAGTAGTGTCTAGCCAGAACTTCAGCTCCTCTCCCATACGGCTTCCAGACAGGGGAGGTGCTCACTGAGGAGAAGAGGGAGACAAATAATTGCTGGGCCTCTGCTCAGGACAGGACCAAGAACATTGCCCATGGAAGGTAGACCACACGCGGCACCTAGAACCTCATACCTCTATGCCTTTCTTTCTAGGGGAGTGGCCCAGACTCAGTGTCTTTCCCTAGGAGTGGGCAGGAGAAGTAACCAGTGAGGACTTGGGGAAAGGGATGGCGCTGTTCACAGTGAGTTATGGGAAAGCCTGGAGGTGTCTGGAGCATTGGGGGGGCGGGGCAGCTGTGATGCTGTGTCTGATAGCTTACATAGGTCCCAGGACTCTCCAGTGCCCGACTCCGTGTTTCCCAGCACCATTCAGATCATGGCGAGTTGCCAGATTGGTCTTGGCTCTTCTGGGGTGATGGTCCTCTCAAGCTGAGACCT